GGTCATGAAATCTGCTCTCCCTTGTATTACACTTGGAATCCTGAACTTCACTCAAACTACAGTAAGACAGAAATGCAGTCTTAAATTGCCTAGGCAGATTAAATGAACAAGATGGATAGTGAGAATCCAGAGGGGCTGATTGGCAAAATTTTAAAAGTTATAGAGTCTTAGGGACCTATAGGTTACCTAATGCAATGCCTCATTTTACAAATAAGGACATTGAGGCCCACAGAAATTAACTGACTTATCCAAGGTTATAGACAGCTAGCAGAGTAAGGATTCTCAAGTCTTTTGACTCCAAATTCAGCATGTTCCACCTCTACCTCCATCCCCTCATACCACATTGTCTATCTAATGATCAAGAGCTATAATTGGATGTGATAGACAATTAGAGTTCATTTAGAGTCTGTAATTCAATTAAAAAAAACCTTTGAAGACTAATAAGACAATTTTTATGAAGAATGATGCTTTTAGGAGAAAAATAAGGCCACTAAGTGTTTAATTACAAATGTGAATCCTCTAAAAAAATGGCATCATGATCTTATATATGACTTTGACAAGTCAACAAGACAAGTATCACTGATGCTTATCACTCTCCCAGGTATAGTATCAGATTCTGGAATCAAAGATTGCATACACTTCTCCTAATTGAATGAATTCATATTACTCATGCTATATTTTAATCCATTCCTTCCTATAAATATGAAAAATAAAGATAATTTCCCACTTCTTTTAATATTATCACAGCAGGAATCATGTACTTATATAGAAAAATACACTTCAGGTGTGGCTATGATCATTCATAGTCATTACAAAAAGACTGATATTCTTATAAAAGTGTCCCAAAAGTCTTAGTTCAGTTTTTAAACTATTTAAGCAATCAAAGCTTTAAAATGTACCAAGACTTTTGCGACAACCTGGATATTAGCTTTCTTTTGCTAAGACCTTTTACATTTTCATTTTGAAGTTACCTGAGACTTTGTCAAAAAGCAAGAAGATAGATCCCAAAGAAAATTAACTTCTGATTCCTCATAATGTAATTTCTTTCTTAAGGTGGCAACAATAGAGAGATAAAAATAGATTAATTTACCTCTTTAAGGCATTCTTTTAATGCAAAATTTTTTTCTGACAGTAAAGGGCCTGAAACTTATCAAATGGTAAAAGATATCTTCATAGTACTCTCTGTGGGTATTTAGGTTCACTTGAAATTTATTTTTTTATTTGCATATAGAAACCCTACAGAGTGATTCTTGAAGTTGGAAAATAACTTTAGAAAGGGCTCAACAAATATGACTTTCATTTTATTAAGGCCTATTTTGTTGGTCAGCAGGATGCCTCATCACAACCCCACTGAGCTCAGCAGCACCTTGACAAGGAGCAGGGAATTAATCCTGGTTAACAGTTATCCTATAAAAGGTCTGGTAATTAAGAAGTCAAATGAAATGTAAAACCTTCAGTATCTTAAGGCATGCCTAAGCTCATAATAGTATTGTATTATTTATATATGCACACATCTCCCTGCTCAGTTGTAAGCCCTAGAAAGGTGGGGCCAAGTTTTCATTGTTGCCTATCCCTCATATCTAGTTAGTTAGTTACCAACAGAGCCATCACCAGGGTGGGCTATCATTAGTTACAATGGTGAGACCTCCCTACCCCATGCCCTGAGAAGCGGCTTGCCAGGCAGCAACTTCAGGGGACTGGTATCCTGGGCTTTCTGTTCTCAGCCTTGTATGGTGAGATCTCCCCAAGTTCTGCCCCTCCCACCAATTCTCTAATGAATTTATCATGTGTGAAAATCTTTTTCTTCCTTAAAGCTCCAATCTCTTCTATAAAGCATCTTCTGTCTTTGCCACTTGAAAAGAACACCCACCTAAAATTTCTCACAGAATTTTGTCTGAATTTCTCACCTAACAGTTACTTTTGCACATCTCACCCTCTCTCTTACACTGGAATTTTCTCAAGGATTCACACTAGAACTTAGTTATTCTTTGTATTCCTGGTACTGAAATAGTACTTCATAGGTGACAGGCATCTAGTAAATATTTGTCATTCATATGTATCTCCATTCCTCTCCAGGCTAGACATTTAACTCTCTGGACTTTTTCTACCAGGCTAGAGAATGATCCTCATTCAGGTAGTTCACTATGCCCTAGGACTTCTCATACCTGGAGAACCTCTACCTGTAAGGCCCCTTCCTCTAATTGGCTGGTTCTTCCCAGAATGCCCTGGCCAACCATGTCTTCATTCCTCTCCAGGCTCTACTCTTTGCTCCCCAGATTGTCTCTATCATGCCCCTCCTCATGGGTAACTTCTTCCTATCCCTCCCTCAACTTTCAACTTCCTTTTGTTATCTTCCTCCATTAGAACATAAGCTTCTTGAGACCAAGGACTATCTTTCTTTCTGATATATTTGTATTGTCTGCTCTTGACACAATGCCCAGTCTCGAGTAAGAGCTTATTAAATGCCTGTTGACTTTATTATCAATTTGAATTATTGATTTTATATCCCTCCTAGTAGTCAGCATGTTAATGCTTTTTGAACTAAATTTCTGAATTTATATTTCTCTCTAGTACCTAGAATTGTGCTACACAGCAGGTGTGTAATGAATGATAAAGGAAGAAGGAAGAAAAATATCAAGGGATGAAGAAAGCAAGGAAGGAAAGAAGGAAGGAAGGGAATGAGAGAAGTTGATGAGGAAGAAAAAAGGGAGGGATGGAGAGAAAGGGAGGGGAAGGGGAAAGTGAGAGAAGGAAGGAGGGACACATATTTGGATTTAATTTGGGCTATCACACTAGATATTCTTAATTTACTCAAGCATCACCATTCCCCTCAAGACCCCCACCCCCATCCCTTTAAAAGTATATACACTAATTCTTTTAGGAAGTGTTTCAGGAATTACTTGAGGTATCTGTTTGTTTAGTCATTGGCTCAATACGTGGGCTGAGGACCCACACCGAGCCTAGGAGAAATTTTAGATTCCAATATCATCAGCAGATCCTGTTACTAAATTTCTAAAATGTGCCTAATATATGAAAAGTTTCTGGGATATTTGCAAGATTTTTAAGTACATACAAGACTCTCATCTTCTTTTTAAAGTTTCAAACTAGATAAATTATTGAACTCCTATCTGTTGAATTTAGTTAGACTAAAAGGATCTGATCCTAAGTTTCAAAATTTAGGAATTCCAACTCTGGTAGTGAAACTCAAAAGAAAAGTTGGATTATGAAGAGCTAAGTGTCCTTGTATGAATGCCTTGAACATCTCTATTCTGAAGAAAATCATCCACTGTATTCTGTTTTAAGCCATCTTTATGGGACATTTCCAAAGTATTCTAAATATATTATAAAAATTCATACTAGAGGTCACCCAAACCTTGGAAAACCAGATCTGTATTTGACAGTTCACAAGTTAGATGCTAAGTAAAGTTGAAAATTCATGCAACGGTTTGACAAAAATATCTAAAGATGTCTCTTAAAGACACATCATGTGATAGGGATAAGAACATATTAATAAGCACTGGTACATGCACAGAATGCCTCTATTGATATCTCCCCAACAGGGACAATGGTTCTTTTCAGGATATTCATGAAATTTTAGAATGCCTTAGAGGTTGAACACCATGAGTGGACATTCTGTAGCTGGACCTGGTTACTTAATCACATAAGAAAGAAGAGGTTCTCTGATTGACTGAAGAGGCGTTCCACCAGGCCTGTCACACTTGGCATATACTCTTTTGATTACTCCTTCACCCATCCTATATAGGGAAAGAAACCTTAGATTTTCTCCCTCTGAGCCCATGTTCTTCTGAGATAGGGTCTCATTTCTTGGCCTCTGAATTTGTTCTTTTCTGTTCTAGATGAAGGGAGTGGAGCTTCTGACTTTATGAGTGTGGAAAGGTCAAAATGACAGCATCTGTATGTCATACAATCCAGGTTTATAGCCAGTGTAGGATCAGTGTCCTGGGGAGCAAGAAGTGATATTTGAGTGTGACCAGCCCAGGGGCAAATGAGAAAAGGAATCATCCAGAAGAATCACTTCCTTTGGATATGAACTTAGTGGGATCAGTGCTATGTAGGAACTGCTTCACTCCCCGCCCGATACCATGTAGGTAAGAGTATACCTCTGAGATATGGGGGAAATGTTAAAACTTGCCATTTATTTAAAGTATATATCTTTTTGTTAAATCTAATTGATGTTAAGTGTTTAAATGGAACTAGAACATAAATCACTGGCCCCTAATTTTGTGTGTGTGTGGGAGACCATAACCACTGGGGCTCAAGCCAATGGCAACAGTGAAGAGAAACATGGAAGTGCTCAGACTGTCTTAGAATACCAAGGGGAAGATTGGTAGGCCTAGCACTGAGAGAATGAGTCAGAGTTTAACTCTCTACACATTAAACAAGTAACTAAAAACTTAATGGGTACATTCAAGTAAGTTGTCTAGCACAGGGGAATTCTTTGAAAGGAAGTAAACATGCTAGTGGTGGTGTATGAGCTTATTGATACTGTTCTAGTCATGGACAGAAATTCTACTGAGCTCAGAGTATTTCATAACAATTATGTATAATCACCTTTGGAATGAACATGAATTCTGTTCAAGAGGTTAAACACAAAAGACTGTAAACTCTCTGTTATTCAGTACTCTAGTCTTTGCAATATCCTAACAGTTATTATTTCAATGTTGTTCATTGTGTTTAAATGTTGTTCTTATGTTGTTTAACTGATGTTCAAAATAGCAATGACAAACTACAAGATTTTAAAAAGGTTATGAATTAAGTAGAGGGTGACTTCTTAATGAAAGATTAAATTACGTTCAGTAGAATTTTCCTTCAAATACATTTTCATATATTCTAATTTTTCTTACATTGTTAAATTACGTATATACAATTACTACCATTCTATTAAATAGATTACCTGACTGGTCTATCTGCTAAATATGATGAACGTAAGAAAATCTACAGCCTTGAAGACATAACACTATAACATAATTATCTCTTACCTGTTACCAGTTCTCGGATCTCCAAATCAGTAGTCTTGCGTAGTAACCGTACTAATGCTGGGATGCCCCCACAGTTTTTCAGGGCAATTTTGTTATCATCATTAGCTTTCCCATACACCAAGTTCCTCAAAGCTCCACAGGCACTACGATGGACTTCTGTCATCCGATGGTCCAACAGGTCCACAAGTAACTGTATGCCTCCTTGTCTTCTTATCTGAAATATCCAACATATGAAACATTTGTCTAAGGGAATAAGGATTTACTCTTAAGATTAAGAAATGGTCTTCAGATTACACATTCTCTTTAATCAACATCATTGTGAGCTATTCAAAGGGAAAAGAAAAGAAGTTAGACTCCTTTTTGGATTCTGGCAATATTTTCTTTAATGTACAGCAAAGAAAAAGCACAAGCTTTTGCATTTAAATCAAAGAGTCTTATTTTTTTATACTTCAAAAAGGCTGTAACATACCTTTATCTAGGCAAATATGTTGAAATAATATGAAATGTACAGAAGAAAGAAATAATTGTTATTCTTTAGTATAGTTTTTTCTTTTTTAGAAATTGTTCCAAATCATTAGACTGATATTCAAATGTTAAAACAATGCTTAATTGGGGAACTCTTCGATCAATTTACACTTGGATTCTATCTGGATAAGCCAAAGCAAATAGGTTGGGAAGGTCATTTACAATGCTACCTAGAATCAAAAAACATTTAAGTACTTTTAGACAAAGAGTTGGCCTTGAAGTGAGGAAGATATGGATCCAAACCCAGCCTCTGATGTAAACTGGGTGTGTAACCCTTGGTAAGTCACTAACCCTCCCTATGCTCTTGGCTATTTGCATTGATAATACATTTCAGAGAAGGTAATGACCTGCATCTGTAGAGAGTTTCCTAGATCAATGAAATGACAGTTCCTGTCCCAATCCCTATTTTTATACTTAGTTCGTGGGGGTTGGGGGGAGAAGGAAGAGGGTTGGAAAGAAACCCTTCAGTTCCATATTTTTACAGAACAGAACCAAACTTACTCGTGAATTTCATACAAACAGGACAAAATTGCTTAGAGCACATTTCCTTAAGTGAATGTCTGAACAGCTTTTAGATAGATTGGCTTTTAGGCATATTTTAAAATTAAAAACAGCTAAGCTGCCAACAAAGCAAAGTGGGTGCTTAATATAAAGACTATTTAATGAAATTTTCATTAGAAAAGATGCATTTGAGCATTTCTGATTTTAAAACGGGAAAATGACCAGATCACACTCAGCAATTTTCTTTACTTCAGTGTTTTCCAGTGGCCCAAGAATTTGACTTTGGTAAGTTATTTGTTGACTTCAAGATGACAGAATTTCATGATAGTGCACATCTTGGGGAGCAAATACAGAATAGTGGGAACCTTCTCTGTATGATCTGTGCCCTTTTGTAGCCTGTTTGAAATTCCTATCATTATTCAATCCTCAGGGTCATAGTATTGAACTTTGGTTTAAATGCAAGCATGTTATCTGGGAAGGGCAGCTACTAAGCTTTTAATACCTTAACATGTTTATCAGGTTAACTATCAGAAAGCAGGTCTTGAGCAAATGGGATACTGACCATAGCTACATTTTAATTGAGCATTGGTAAATTCACAGGAAAAGCAGGCTTGGGGGTGATATCCTGGGTAACTTACATTAGGGCATCATGAGCATCTTATAGAATGTGGCTAAGGAAATTATAAAAGCAATAAAAATGGATGATGGAGGGCTGGAAACAATCTTTTGCTTATTTATAATTTGGCCCAGGGCAATCCCTGTGTCTGTGCTTTGACGACTTGCTATTGATTTGGGAGAGGAATGCTGCTTAGGTGATTATATACAAGGCCCAAATTAATAATCAAATCTATGACAAACTGAGGCACTATACTATGTTATAAAAGTTCTGAGTAACTATTTTAGGTACTGATTAAAAAATAACCTAAAAAATATAAAGATGAATTTAAAATACTAGATTTTTAGTGGATTTTATTTTTATTTTTACTTTTAAAAATGTTAAAATCTAATATGTTCTTAGGCTGCATTAAAAGAAGCATAGTATTCAAGACTTAGGATGTCACAGACTTACTGACCACATCTATAGAACAGAACTGTAAAATTTTAAGGACATTGATGAACTAGAGAATATAAGGAGAATGATAACCTGTATGATGAAGTGTCTTAAGATGTCATATGAAGATTAATCAAAGGAACTGAGATGTTTGTCACTAAGAAGACAAGACCTAGAGTGCAGAACTTGGAACAATGAGTATAAGCTGCAAATGTAGACTTGATGTCAGGAAGAACTTCCTTACAATTATAGCCTGATGTTTCAGAGTGAGTATAAACAGCAATGGTTTCTGTTCTGACCAAAAACCCTGGAGGTCTTCCCCTTTCAGACTGATTTTTTTTTTTGGACTAGGTAAAAGAGGCCATTCTCTGCCTCATTTCTTACCTAGCCTTAGTCACTGAATAGGTGTGGCCTCAGTCAAACAGATCTGGGAAAGACCTTAACTTAAAAAGGCCAAGATCTCCTACTGCATCCAGGGCCATCTCCAGGTGTCCTGATCTGTATCTTGCCACTGGACCCAGATGTCTCTGGAGGAAAGAATAAGGCTGATAACTTTGCACAGTCCTTCCTCACTTAAATTAGATTCATGTGCAGGTCGTGGCATCAGTTTCCTGATGTCATGGTTCTCTTCAAGAATGAAGGACAAATGACAGTAATTCAAAAGTAGATTAGACTGCCTCGGGAAATTATGGGTTTCCCTTCCCCAGATCTCTTTTTTGAAAGCTTAGATAACAACTTGTTGAGTGTATTACGGAGGCAATTGTTCAGATGTAGGTTGGAGCAGATGGGCTCTGGGATCCCTTTCCCCTCTGGAATTCCATGATTCTGATTGTAGAATGTCTCTTTAGAGTTATTTATAACTGTTTAGATGGCTATTTTTATATATGAAAATACATGTAATTTGATTTGATGTTTTATATATAAATAGAAAAGGTATTTATAAGATTTCTTGCTTTCATAAATAATTATTTTACTATTTCTGCTAGTTCACTATAATATACTGGATTATCACATGCTTATTTAACAGATTAAACTATAAAACACATTTCCCCCCAAAATAAGATTATGGAAGAACAGAATTGGAGATGGAGATAGAACAAGTATGGGGGTATAAGACACATAAAATTATTTTTTTATGCTGTAACATGCACATTCCCAAATACAAGATATACATTGTCTAATTAAGTCTTATATTCTATAATAAATATAAGATCATAGATTTCAAGTTGGAGGGAACCTTAAAGGGTAGATAATGTGACCCTCTCATTTGACAAATTTGAGAACTGAGGCCTATAGATGTTTAATAACCTGCCCAAGATCACACAGGTACTAAGTGGCAGATCCAGAATTCAAGCCAAGGTCCTTTCCATTGTATCATTCTGTCTCCAAATTCATTCAATGAAAAAGAAACAAGGCCATATTCTTGTAACTTCAGAAATCTGGCTCTTTACAGAAAACACTGCATCCCCAGACATTTTCTCCAATACTGGCTGTACCTTTGCTCATGGCTCCAGGCACAACAGACAAGAGGAGAATGAAAGAAGCAATCAAATCTTATTCCTCAGTTCCCCTTCTGAGCAAGACCCTCCCACTACCACTGTGACTTAGCACCCTCTACATCCAGAAATATCACCATTTTCAGAACAGATGATTCTTCTGTCTTTCTCAAGAGTTCCAATACCTGGATCAGTACTGGATACCCTTGCTTGACACTTCATCAAATGTCCCATGAATCACATCTTTGCTCCACTACAACTACATGTAGGGGTAGCTGCACCACTGAGTTTATTGTCACTTATAAGAGTTCATCTCTACTACCCATAATTTAGATAGTTCTTTGTCTAAAACCTCTCATCCATCCTTTTTTTTCTTCTCTTCAGCCCCTCTAAACCTATCTTTGTCTTCATGCCAACCTCTAATCATTCTACCCTACTCTGCTTTCTTGGGCCATGATATTATCACCTTTGCTCTGGCTTATTCTGCCAATTAAATTCTGACCCTAATTAATTCTACTTTATACTATCTTAACAATTAATACTAGTCTAAAGTGGGTTAGCAGTATCTACCTCTCCATCTCCCCAAAATCTTTTTGCTGCAGGTGAAAATATTTCAGTTATGGTTCTGTCAAACACAGAAAATATGTCATAAAATTACAATAAATAGAAAATCTGAGTTTGAGATGCTGCTATCCCTAGCAAATTTACAAATTTCTTGGAAGGTTGGGCTCCCCCTTTCTGAGGGGTTTCAAGAAGAGGTTGGTTGGCCATCTCTTAGGGATCTCATAGGAGAGATTCCTGTTCATGTACTAGTTGTATTAGAAAACCTTTGAGATACCTTCTAAATCTGAAATTCTATAGTTGTCGCCACACTATGATAGTTATTTCCTCATAGGAAAATTTTAATGGAAATAATAGATAAGGACTTATAAAAAGAGAATAAGAGAAATAAGCTTAGCAAGGAAAAATATTCATGGTGGGGGACAGACGTGGTAGTGATGAGTTAGGCTGAGGGGTAGGCATATAGGTATAGCAGCCTGGAAATAAGGGGCAGTAGAAATTTGGGAGAAAGGAGGGATAGCAGGCTTCTCATGATAGTTTGCTCTGGCATTTGAGTTCCCTTGTTTAGGGACTTTTTAGACAGCAGGGTAAGCAGTGCCACTTTGATTTCACATCAAGAATACTTTGAGGTAAAAACAAAAGAAAACTAATATTCTAATTCCATTACTAAGACGGTTTTTTGTTTTATTGGGAAGAGATTTTTGTTTTGTTTTGTTTTCCATTCAGTTCTGTTTTCCTTTTTTCCCCTTCTCTGGGAAGAAAGAGTAAGGATTAGAAAAGGGATGGAGAAAAATCATTCCTTTTCTTAAAAAAAAAATCAATTTTTGTAGTTCTTGTTCAGAAATTAGAAATGAGAAACTGATAGTGTGCTTCCTTTGAAAAAAGCTCACTGGGAGTTATGTGACCATTTCCCATCTCTCAGGTATCTCTGTAGCCTTTACCCTACTCCCACTCCCAAATAAATGGTCACCAAATCCCTTTTCCATAGGATCAGTGTCTAGACCTGGAAGGGACTTTAGAAGACCCTTCATCAAAATCTCCATCTCCTTCATTTGGTAGATGAGGAAAGCAAAGCCCACA